TTGTGAGTTCGTTCACATTTCCAATTAAATGCGACTTGTATGTGATCTGCTGTGTGAACTTCATACGACCCAAACGTGTCCCGCATGCGCAGAAGAGGACACGACGACGTCACACGCAGTGAGCATGCTCAGTGTTTATGGAAGTAAACATGGATGGTAACGGTGGCGCGTATCTGTCACTCCCCTGCCGCCGTCACCGATTGTGGAAACAGAAGTATGACCGCTGTCCTAAACTAGCATCAGCAGCCAAGTACTGCTTGTGTGTTCTGGCCACTTCCACCCCATTGGACCGCTCCCCCAGGGTGGAAGTGTCCCCCGACCGCGTCAAATATTCAGATATTAATTATTAATTGGGCCTGAATATCCAGAGACCATAAAGTGCTATTGGGACCAGCCCTAGTTTGACGTGTAGGTCGGATCAGTGCGATCTAGCCGTTCAGACAGAAGTCACACGGCAAAAGATCAGATACCAGTCGGATTTAGGACCGCTTACCTTTGATGTCAACCCACGGGCCCATGAACAAGCTCACCAGTCAGTTAGGCGTGAAATCCAGCGATGCGTAGTGTTCTAACAATACACTAGTTATTATAACAACTACGAACAATAAATATTAACAACAAATGAGCCTTCAAGCATCAAGCCCTCCTTGTATCTCGACCTCCGTCTTGACAATCCGACAGCCTTGCTATCCAACATAAAAGAAGGTTTTACATTTAGTGTCAGATTATCGAGTCACGACTGTATTTTGCTCCCACCTGCACAGACACGATTTCAATTACCTGGATTCTGATGGTCATTGTTTCCACGTTTCTAATATGCTAAACCAGTTATTTCCACATCTGTATGCATGGGCTTTCCTTTAGCCTCCTGTTGTTTGTAATTATTTAATAATGACACTGAATAAGACACATGAAGAAAATTCAGATCTCGTACAAATGTCCATAACATATACTGATTATAAATGTGTTATTCTGTATGTATATAATGTACTTCTTATATTATAGTTCCCTTTTTAGCAGCAGTTAAAAATGTGTGGCAGGAATTTGCATCGATTTCTCCACATTCTCGGCAACGCTTTAATAATGCAGACAAATTGTATTTAGTATCTGTTGGGATAGTAAATAAATGAAACTTGCTGAAGCAGCTGTTTTAGGAGAACCAGTTTAAATGTCACGACCTATTTCCATTTTTATCCCGTTTGTGCTTCGCTACAGTTATTTTCAGGTTACGTTGCGTCATATAAGAACTTAATCGGAAATGATTGTGATATTTTCCCGCTTTTTAAAAGACTTTAAAGATTTAATAATCAAATAATGGATAAAAAAATAAGTAAAGGATTAAATAATGAAAGTTGGCTGCAGAACTAACGTGTTTATTATTGTGTTGTGTGCTTTCATTTTTGTGAGTATTCCATCATTTATTAGGCTGAACTATGGCTTCCTCCAGGATCTACTCTGTTTAATGAGCTTCATCCTCAGTGGGGACGACGACGACTCTCAAATTAAATTAAATTCTTAATCAAAATGAAATTCTTTATCAAAAAAAAAAAAGGAGTCATCAGCAAAGTAGGATAATACGTCTGCATAATGTGAGCTCGTTTCCAAAACCGCTGTACATTATATTGTGCACGTTTCGCTCCTGTGCTCATGTTGAGTGAATTAACTTTAATATAACTCATGGAACTTAATTAAATTACAGCTTGCTTTGTGATTTCCCTGTGGAGTTTTCCATTTCGTCCACTCAAAAAGTCACACCCCTCATAAAAAAAAAAAAAAAAGCTGCTGGAATTTACCCACAACATTTTTCAAGTGCTTTCCAAATATATTTATTTGGAAAAATGCTTATGCAAATGCAGTTTCGATGCATAAAGCAGCTGTGTGTGCAGCAGCAGCAGCAGCAGCTCCTCTGGCAGCGACTGCCGGCCGACACTGTGGCCTGGAAAGTCAACAGGAGTCAGTATGTCCCAGCAGTCTCCAGCCAAACCAGCACCAATCAGCAGAAACAGATGGGTGTTTGTTTAGCAGGACCAGGGACAGTGGAAAATATGGAGGAGCTCAGGCACCAGGATATACACTCTCATATTTGCTTAAAGAACCCCTGACAAGAGAACACACCATTTTCGGAGAGTTTCTTCCCCCTCCTTAACTATTTCATCTTCCTGCTTTACTGAACCCCTCTCCATGCTCCTACATTCACCTCTCCCCCACTTCAAAGATCCTCCCTTTGCACGTCACCGCTTTAGCTTACATCCGAGCGACGCGTTTGATCGGCGCAACACGCCACTAACACTTTAATCCGTGCCATCGTCAGCTGCGATAACATCCGTTCGAGTAAGAGCCTGAGGCTGCCATTTGTTTGATGACCCCTTGAGCACTGCGAGGCTGGGGTTTATAATTTAGTCATAAGAGCCTGGTGGTTTGACATTCCGCAGCCCACAGTGAGGACTGAATCGGGGATATTATTCATTCCAGGAGAAAGTAGCTGAAAGCAGCCATCTCATGAGTGTCCCATGATTCCCATCAAGTTGCACTCCCACGTACACGCTGGCGCAGGCAGCAAGAAGGAGATGAGCACATGTGAGCTTGAAAGGAAGCACTAAATGTCTCAGACATTAGCGAGAACGGAGGAGACTTTGAGACGCTGCGTTTGCTTGTTTATCGCCTCTGAATTCAAATGAAGCCTGAATGATTTTCAGCCGTTGCTTGTACCTGCTAACGCCGGCGAAGCGCTCATCAAAACAACCGCCGAGATCCAACATCAGTATGATCAGATGAGGAAAAAAGACGGCGGGTTGAAAGATCAAACAGGCTGTAAACAAGTCGAAATTATATTAAAGTGTGTTTTTCTGGCAGTTTGCCTCTCTGTTACAGTGATTTAAAACACCTAAACCACTTTATCTGGATGTGACGTTAACCGGAGATGTTTGTAATAAAACTGTACAAAGCTAAACAAGGAAGGCAAACCGTGATAGACTGTTTACCTCTGTGTCTACTACAGATGAGCTTCAGTCACTCTGGGCTTATTTCATCTGTATTCGATCAGTTTGTTTCGCTTCACTCACATGAAGAATACTGCTATTATCTTCAGCAATGCAGCAAAGAACTCAAGTTAAAACTGGTTTCAACCCTCCAGCGCGAAAATCCACCAGTGAGTTTAAAAGACAAAAAATCCAGTTAGAAATTCGACAAAATGACGCCATTTATCAGAGCTACGAACAGAGAAATCACCAGATTATCACATTTCCAGCAGTCCTTAAACTAATGATCTGATCATTCTCGTGGGGAAATTATCCAAACTTAGGCATAAAATTGTGATAGTTCACCAAAATCACGTTATTCTGCATGTCTCATTTAAAAAAAAAAAAACTGTCCAAGGCAAATTAGAGCACTTTGCTGATGAGCAGTGGGACAAAAATGTAGTTTTATTTAAATACTTCTGTTGAACCACAATTCAAAAGCAAATGTCATGATCCATCCATCCACCATCTCTACACCTTAATCCTCACCAGGGTTCACCTGGACAGGTAACCAGTCTATCACAGGGCTACACTTAGAGACAGACACCCAAGCACACTCACATTCACACCTACGGACAATTTAGAATCAACAATTAACCTCAACATGTTTCTGGACTGTGGGAGGAAGCCGGAGAACCAAGAGAGAACCCACGCTGCACGGGGAGAACATGGAGACTCAGAAAGATCCCGGGTGTCCTCACCGGGACGCGAACCGGCGACCTTATAGCTGTGGTGCTAACCAACGAGCCACCTGCAGCCCACCAATGTCATGATGTTCATTGAATTTTTATTTATTATTACTTTTGTCAAATTCAACCTATTTCAGTGACTGAAGCTGTTTTTTTCCTTCTTTAATGGGAGGATATGAACACATCTTAGGACGACTGTAAGACACTTTTGAGCTTCTTTATGCTTCTATCCATGCTTGTGCTGTTTCCATAGAGGTGCAGGACTTTATACTGCAGCGAAAAATGAGCCCACAGTGAGTAAAAATATGACAGACGCAAACAAAACACCCAGTAGGTCCTTGGTTCAGAGGGTTCAATGGTTATCAAACCAATGTAAGGGTCAGCTGCGTTCTTTAGTTAACCGTCCAAGTTAAACTAACTGTCTTCCTTCTTCCAGGTCCCCTCCCAGGCCCAGTCCAGGCAGCCTCCACTACTCGGACGAGGACGTCAGCACCAAGTACAACGATCTGATCCCTGCAGAGAGCAGCAGCCTGACCGAGAAACCCTCCGAAATCTCTGACTCNGCAAACAAAACACCCAGTAGGTCCTTGGTTCAGAGGGTTCAATGGTTATCAAACCAATGTAAGGGTCAGCTGAGTTCTTTAGTTAACCGTCTAAGTTAAACTAATTGTCTTCCTTCTTCCAGGTCCCCTCCCAGGCCCAGTCCAGGCAGCCTTCACTACTCGGACGAGGACGTCAGCACCAAGTACAACGATCTGATCCCTGCAGAGAGCAGCAGCCTGACCGAGAAACCCTCCGAAATCTCTGACTCACAGGTGCAGCAGCAGCAATACTCGTCTTTCTATCCCCTCTGATCTAACCGGCAGTGTTCATGTTTGTACTCGTCTGCGTGTGCACACCGTCATCCCCTTGAATTCGTCAGGAATTCAGCTTCGCATCGTCAGCTGTACTGTGTGTGTGTCTTTTTTTAATTTTTTTTATTTGTCTGTCCACCTGGTGTCCTCTCTGTGTCATTCACCTCGATGCATTTGGCCCCGCCGAGGTCATAAGATATAACCGCAGCGATGCACACGGACAGATGAGAGATTAATGACTCCGCACACTGGCGGGCAAGGCACTTTTCTCTTTTCTCCCCCGACCGGGCTGGAACCTGTGGAGAATGTCATTCAGTAAACATCCACCTGAGATCTAGGCCACTGCACTCAGCCACAGCACTTGTTATGTAAGACAGCGAAGGGAGGGCGCTCGCTGCAAAATTTATTTTAGAGCTCGTTACGTGTTGAAAGTTGCCACTCCAGCCAGACGGAATATCCAACTTTCCTTTTCAGTGAGTCAGGTCAGAGGCAGTAAAACTGATCTCTGTGGAAAACTAGAATAGTGCACTGGCTTTTTTTTTTTTTTACCCTGGCTCTTCTTCTGTGGCCTCATTATATAATCAGAAATCATAGTTTTACTTTTCTTTTGAACTTTTGAAGCCTTTAGCGTCAGGACGTGATTGATTACTGACAACTTAAGCTTCCGTGTCTGACTTGTGGTCTCCTCTATGTGCAGAGCCAAACTGCTTTTGCCTCAAAATCAATAAATAGTACCTTTTGTCTCCCTCTCTATCTTTCTATTGATCAGGCGGCGGGCCACCCTGACTTCTGTCTTTGTTTCATTGTGAGTTTTTCCCCCTCCCTCATTCTTTTATCCACATAGCTTCTTCCTGTATGTCTTCCGTGCATATATGTTGTTGCTGTTTCTGTTTATGTCGCCTCCCTCCCCGGCTCTCTGTGGTTTCGGGTGAACCGTCTCGCAGTCCGCAGTCTGGTTTTGATCCTCGTCAGATGAAAGCGTCATGGGGGGAGGCGGTGCCGAATCCCCCCTTTTTTTTTGCTTTCAAGCTTCTCTCAGTGTTTTCTTTCATCTAGGAATTCTTTACTCTCCACATTTCCCAAATTATCTTGGAGCATCTCTCAGATAAATACGTCTGGAGTGTGAATTCCGCGCAGCCAGATATCTCTCCCCACCTGGCCTTATCGGGGGGCCTAAGTCCTACTTCCAGATCAAATGAAAATCTCCCCACAATGAATCGCTACAGACAGGACCTTTTCGCAGCGCCGCAACATCCCCTCAAATGAAGCATTTCGACATTTCGCCACCTGCCTGACAGATCTACCGCTTCTGTATTGTGAGACGTGGCCCTCGTGCGGCGGCTGCGCCCTCAGCTTGAGTTTGCGGCGCGTTCGGAGAGGGTCAACGCCGGCTTTGATGGGCTGAAACAGTCCCGCCTGTAGCCCCCCGAGGCTACGCTGCCATACCCCCTGACAGGCCACCACATCAGCACCCAGATATCCAGGAATGCTCTTTGAAGTTTTATCGAGCGGATAACTCTGGGCTATCAGTGTGTCACCGTGTTGTCTGTCCTCTTTAATCCCCTGGTGCCTCCCCAGCAGGTATAAGTTGGCTATTGTCTTCCTCCTCGAGAGGGAGATTTGGAGGAAGCTAACGTTGAATTGGCAAGGTATCAAGGCCACCATTACTGCTCTGCTCTCCTGCAGGTAGAGACCTATTGACGTTTTCTTTCCTTTAGAATACAGGGCTCTCTCTCATTCCTCCAAGGTTGTATCTGTGGCGAAGTCTTTGTGTTTCACTTAAGGCCGAAACCAGCCGAAGACAGATGATCTCATCTCTGAGTCAGAGATGGATCGTAGATTATGCTCTCTCTCTCTGCAGAGTGGCATTCCGTGGGAGAGAAATGAAAATGTCTGCTTTCTCTCACATACTTTCTTGTTGTCTCTCTCTCTCTCTCTCTCTGCCTCTGTCGGTCTTTCTACACCCTCTCACTCGCTGCCTCTCCGGCTACTGTAGCTTCTTTGGCTGAGACTCAACAGAGAATGTAATGTTTGGATTGTCTCTACTGACAACGCACCGCTTTATTTGGACCGGCTCGGTTTGAAGTAGAGAGCCGTAACCCCCTGAATAGACACAAATAATGACCGCAGTTAAATTAGATTTTGCTTTAATACATTTTTGGCAAGTGAACAAAACCGATGGAGGAGGTGAGGCAGGATGTGATGGATCGCGTTTTAAAGGAAAAAAAGCTGAATAAATGCACGTGCTGCCCGTCTGGGCCAACGCTAATGCCCCACAAAATCTTAAATCCCTGTGATTATAATTGTTCTGCTGCAGCAGCATACATTACGGCGACCGGAGGAGGTTTCTGTACCTGCCTAGACGACGACGGTGAACAACTTGAGTTTGGTGCAGCAGGAATTTGCCCAAAGCATAACTTCATCGTTCCATTTTCCTACGTAGATGTTAAAAACATTGTGAATACCCCCCCTCCAGCCCCACACACATTGTTTTTTTGTCTTTGTCTCTGGGGACCCCTGCTGTGTTCACTTCATCAATGAGAGCAACATAGACAGCCCTCCCCTCGCCCCCTCCTCGTTGCCATAATCCATAACTAGAGGACAAAGGACTGACCCACTCTGTGGTATATGCATCAGTTCTGAGGGGGAAGGGGCCCCTGCTCGCCACGAGATTGTTTCAGGCTCATGTCTTTACATAAATCATAGTGAAGAATAACAACTTTATAGAAAAAAAAAAGAACAGTTAACCCTCTGAATCCCCAAACCTGCTGGTGGCTCTGCAAGATTATATTAAAAAACAAACAAACAAACAAACTGCCAGAAACTGTAAAAACTGAATGAATCCTCTGATTTTCTTTTTTTTTCTTCTTAAACTACTCATTCCATCTGAAAACTTCACCAAACTCACCTAAAAACTGTGCTATTTCATAAAATCTCTTTCTTCTAAAAGAAAAGAAAATCTCTCTCGGTTAAAAAATTGCTAAAAATCAAGAGTTTGCCTTAAACAGACGCTGTAAAAAACAAAAAATTCTGCACTCCTCGACACAACCACGAACCCATCAGTGACTCAGATGTGACCGACGTTCACCTGACAAAAAATCTTTTGTAATTCAGCTTAACCAGAGCCGATAGCAGCCTCTGTACAAATGCAAGTAGTAAACATCGTCAGTTTGAGTCGCCTTTTGGAAATGCATTACATGTTGATTCAGGTTTTTGGTGACATAAATAATCCAAAAACTTCTCTCTGCTTCGAGCCATGGTTTTGCTGTTTCAAGGTGCAGGACTGTGGAATACAAGCCGGCAGCGAGAAGAAATGTGACAGGAGCAGAGAAACACTCGGCTCGGGGTTCAGAGGGGTTAACGCTGGTAAATAAATAATGGACAGATAGACAGAAAACGGGAATAAACACAGACGCCATATGTCTGGGGTCAAAGGTGAAAGTCCTTAGAGGTCGATTTTCTCAACACCTGCCTTATTTGCTGATGTGGATCAGTTTATCTCCAACAAATACTGATTTTAACCTATACTCGATGCACATTCATCGTAATATTTTCCTCCTCTCCCCCGTCGTTCTCCCTCCTACGTTGTTACCGGTTGTAAAACAGGAACACAGGGCAGCTTTATTATACCGATGATAAAATAAACAACTGTCAAGAGGGTTCACCAGTTAATTGGATAGATTTCTTAATCTCCTTCTCTGCCTAATTTAACATCATAATGGTGAAGAAATGTTTAATAATTGACACTGGCAGGCTTGTATGTGTCTGTCTTACACTTAGCCTCGCATAAATAAGATGGCTTTTCCCTCGAGGGCCGAGATGCAATGCTGCATTTCACGCCGCAAGTCTGCTTCTTTCACAGCATTCTGCTCCAGTAATTAGCTCGTAATGACTCGAAAGAACTGAGGTGTATCACGGACCCCAGCTGCCCCAGAGGCAAACAGTCAAGCATCCTATCACCGTATAGGTTCCTCAGTTGGCTCCTTGAGTTATTTCTGCTCAAGATCGGGGACGAAACCAAGAGCGAGAGTCGGACAGATTGGAGACGCTTGTGCGCAGAATGTTTCAGGAGTCGGAACATCTGTTGCGCACACTCGGTGGCTGAGCTGGGGGTGGGCCGGAGTGGGATGCAACTCAGTGTGTCAACACTTGGTCTGGGCTCACTCTTTCCCCACTACCACACAAACACACACACACACACACACACAGCTGGAGTGATGTTTCATCTCTCAATGCAGCGTTAATTCTTTTCGAGTGAGGTAATACATCTTGAAGTGGCTCAGTGTGTCTTGTTGGTCCACCGTGAATGGATCTTGTTATTGTGTCGCCGCGTTGCTAAACACACTGGCACGACCGGAATGCTTTTCAAAAAAGAGAAACTGCTCGGCCTCAAGTGTTTACAACGGGGGTAAACCATATTACAGATGGACAACAAACACACACGACCGCTGATCCGGCTCGCACTCTGACTCCCTTTATTGAGAGGAAAAACAATATGAGGGAAAGTAAAGGAGGCTACGAGTGGCGTGGCTTGTGCAATGTCTGCCTTTGATTAATTTGCACCAGAGCGGGAGGGTAAAGCAGATCGCTTTCTTTTGCTTAGAAACAAAGAGGATCAAAAGTGTGGGGGGGGGGGGTTAATTCAACATTTTCTGTTTGGACGTTTATAAACTGCGCTGACGTCTAGAAGAGAAGGGCCTTTATGTTATATAGGGGTTTGACATAGGAGGCATGAAGCGTGTTGCGGCAGAGGGGAAATCCGAGACATGTGCCGCCATATGTATCACATATGTGCCGCGCAATATCCAGCTAGAGATCTGTGCTCTGGAGTGTGTCTTTGGGGTGCGTGCCAGCAGCCATGTTTCAGTACGAGAAAAGGGAACCTGATAATAAAAGACCTCCGAGAGCCAAGAACTTTGAAAAGGTCATGATTATCAGCGCCATCTCTGCAGCCTACTCTTATAAAAAAAAGAAAAAAAAGGCCTTTTTTTTTTAAAGCAATGAACCTAATGCACATCAAAAGCAGCCTCTTTGGGAAATTACCCAGCGACAATTTTGGCAAAGCCGACCGTGCACGAGTTCATTGTGGCCAGGTGATCAATCACATGCCGGCCGGCCAATTGGCAACTTCGCTTTCGTGGCAATTAGATGACCGCGAGCGATCCCCGCCGAGCGTTCGGTGGTCACGTTCTGCTTTGTCCGAGGCACCGAATGTGTCTCGACGTGAATACAATAGTGCTTCCAGCGCGACCTGCAGCAAGGTGGCGGGTCGGTGGCAAGAATGTGCCGAGAATTATTATTTCTTCTCCAGACGGCTTGGAATTCAAACTGAGTTAAAATAACATAATTTAAGGCCCGCTTCCGTCTCCTGAAAAAAAAAAATAAAAAATCAATTGTAGGATTTGAGAATGCACCGCACAATCAGTTTCTTTATCATCTTTTGTTAGCTTTTCTACACCATTCACACAGAATGGCACAAAGGGTCTATACATACATATGTATTATGCTATTATCATCATCATGACTCGGCCATTTTAATCATTCTGTTATGGTGATGTACTGTAAAACCCATTGTTTTGTTCACCCATAGGAGGCGCTGGTGTTTTCATATGGGACAGGTGGCCTACATACACTTCCACTGCATTTGGTGAGGTTCCTGTGGCTGCCTGCTTTGAATGTCTGTAGCCCCTTATAGGTGACTGGTTCCTACTGGTAGTCCCCATCCAATCCTTTCCCCTCCTCAGATCCACATCAGGTCTTTTTTTTCTCTTGATACACTGTACTACACAACACCAAACCCCGTCTTGCTGGCGTGGTGTGGAAGACCTTGAACATATAGTCTGACTGATTGGTTAAAGTCCCGAACATAAATTGACCTTTGCCATCTTGTGTTGATGGTCCATTTACTGTGCACGCTTCAGTAACAAAGTCATTCCTCCGTATTCATGCTTTGACCATCTTTGACCATTCTGTCCATGTGTACTCGTGCTGTGTCGTAAGTGTACATGTGTGTGTGTGTGTGCGTGTGCATGTATGTGAGTGTTGTTTCGACGGGGATGACTGTGAACTGATGACTTAGAATAACTCAATAACATCATGTTCATTTCCATTTATAGCCTCAGCATCTCTAACTGCTCCACATGGAAACACAACAGAGCCGCATTGTTCTAACTCCCTCAATCAGTGTGGCCTTCTTTATTTTTCTCTATCAGGGCAGCGACAGCGAGTACGAGGTGGATCCCAACCGGCAGAAGACCCACTCCTTCGTCAACCACTACATCAGCGACCCGACCTACTACAACTCCTGGCGTCGCCAACAGAAGGGCATATCCCGGGCGCAGGCCTACAGCTACACGGAGTCCGAGTCGGGCGACCCGGATCACTGCGCCCCGCCGCCGCTGCCTCCTCTACCTCCGCTGCCTCCCCAGCTCAGTTCACCCAGCCCCCAGCCTCAGCAGGCCCAGGGCCAGCCCCAGGGCCAGGGCAGCCTCTTTAGGCCCAAAGGTAGCCGGACTCCCACCCCTTCCCAGCAGAGCTCCAACCCCCCCAGCCAGCACAGCACCCTTTACAGGCCCCCGAGCAGTCTAGCCCCCGGCTCACGGGCTCCCATCGCTGGCTTCTCCTCCTTTGTGTGAAAAATGCTGAAAAAGGACATAGAAACTTCTGGAAATATCTACCCAACTCGTGCTGAAGGAGAACATAGCATTGCATAATGCACAGTCAGCCCAATCAAGTCGTCATCCGCATCTCTCTTTTATTTCATTACATTTCTTCCTCTTCTGTTTTTACCCGTGTTATATTCCTTTAGCCAGCCTGGATATATGCAGAACATCAGACTTTTTGGAGCACTTTTTTTTTTGTTTGTTTGTTTGTTTAACGTGTGGAAGTGTGCCAGTGTAGACTTTGATTTCTTTCTCCGGTTGATAAAGTGTTCTCCGCAACATCTATTCACTTTTTATTTTGCTTTTGAACTACGTGCATGACTTTTGCTTATCATTTATTTCCTCCTCTTTTTTTGTTTTTTTCTTTTTTTTTGATACTTGTTTCGGATCGCAGTCAGCGGTATTCTGTTTGATTCTGTACAAAGTCACAAGAATCTTTGAAAAACACACGCGCATATAAATATATACATATATATATAAATATATATATAGTAGACGTACCTAGAAGACAAAATCAATCAAATGAGTGCAGGCTCTGCACCGATGGAGACTGATATCACAATACGATGGAGCCATATAATGGAAATGAAAGGACAAGTATTCGTTCGGACTGGATGTAAAAAGAAAAACAAAAAAAAAACGAGAGGAAAAAAAAAAAGGGAAGTGATAAAAGATGGACGTGGAAGTGGAATTCATGCCAAATTGAAGAAATTTAAATGTGTTGGCCAGGAGAGGTTTTAGAAATGGACACTGGAGAAACAATCACGCATTTCCATGGAAACAACTCTCTGGCCTTCAGCACACGAATCCATAGAACAACATTTGGCCACGACGGGTCAGATGTCAGTGATTGTGCTGTGCCTGAGGGGATCCTGCAGATATATGGGATGAGTGTATATCTGTTCAAGTGAAAGTGTCTAAGTCTTTTATTTGTGAGTGTGTTACAGTGGATCAAAGATGCCTTGATAGAGAAACACTTATTTATGATATCTGGCACCGATTGTGACTGAACTGCTGATGGTGCCCTTGACTGTGGCATCGCGACGGCCCCGCAAACTACAAGAGCCTTCTTTTAAATCCCGACAGATGTGGGCTGTGAATCGATTTGCATACATAACCCATGTTTCATATTTCACCCTTTTGCTGGCTCGCATATAAACACATCAGTCTACTGAAACGCTTCGAAACCTAAGAGGTTAAACTGGCGGCGGCGGCGGCGGGAGGGGGGGGTTGTCACACGTGGGCACGGCTGCTGGTTCTGCCTAAATGTAAACGGTGTGATTTTGATAAGATTTTTTTTTCCTGTTCCCCTCTCCTGCTTGGATAACTCTTCCCTGCCACTGATCACTATCACCGGGCAGTGCTGAGCCTGCACCAAGAGATGATGTCATGGAATTGCCTCACCTCTCCCTCCCCTCTTCCTCCCCCTCCTTCTTTTGTGTAATCAACCACTCTGTACTATTCAGGTGTGACTGTCCCAGACGCCGACGCGTGCGTGCGTGCTTACACTTCTCGTGCGTAAGCTTTTACAGATCATTCACTGTGTGTCTGTTTATAAAGAGATTGTCCTGCAGCAAAAACTGTAAAACCTGCCTGGAGTAAACGCCACAGAGGGGCCCGGCGCCGTCCGGCCCACCTGCCAGGCGCGCTCATAACGCTAATAGTGAAGACTCAGTGGTGTGTTTCTAGTTTCCATAGTTCCAAAACAAAAAAAAACACAAAAAAAAAACTGCAAATGAAAAAAAAAAAAATGTCATCGACTTTTTTTTCTCTCTCTCTCTCTCTCTCTCTCTGTGGGGTGATTTCATTGTACGCAACAAAAGCTTATCATGCAGAATCTGAATGAATATATGATCACAGTACATTTCTGAAATAAATTATTTTTCAATGTTCGCGCTTCTGGTGCTCAATTGCAAGCTGTAAAAAGGGGGTCATCTGAGGAAAGGGAACACAGAATTTCATTTATATAGTGTGTAATCTGAGGGTATTATAGAGAGAAACCCAACAATTCCCCCTTAGGTGAGGATGTGGAGGACAGAATGTGGATAGAGAGACAAGGACAAAGGATAAACACTGGGCAGGTTGCTGCAGAAAGACACAAGGAGACAGAGGACGGAGAGGGAACACAAACTTAATGGCAAGTAATAGCGGCATATAAATGCATAGAGAGCGAACGAGTGGAGGAGTGCATCATGGGAGGTCCCCCAGCAGCCGGGGTGCATACGCAGCACAACTGAGGGATGCTTCAGGGTCACATGAGTCAGCTATAACCATATGCTTTATCAAAAAGAAAAGTTTTAAGTCTAATCTTGAAAGAGTTTCTTAAAACCCACAGCTAAAGATTCAGCCTCCCACTCTACGTTTAGAAAATCTAAAAAGCACAAGTAAGCCGGCGCTCTGAGAACGAAGAGTTCTGTCTGGATAATGACGGTACGATGAGGTCTTTAGGATAGGATGAGGACGGATTTTAAGTTCTGTTCTGGATTTTACAGGGAGCCAATTAAGAGGAGCGAATATGGAGGGGCGAAAGAAAATTATGCTTAAAAGAACTGGCTGGATGAAATCTCTCTCCTCGTTCGTTTCAGTGAGATTCTGCAAAATGAAAGCGGGCCCTGTCTCGACTTTTGCCACAACCCAGCGTCACATATCCACTGCCACAATAATTGTGAGTCCTCCTTTGTAAGGAGCACGCATCCAGCAAATCCATTCCCACTGCAAACCTCCTCCTGACACAATCTGCGCCGTCTCATTGCAGTAAACACACCAACATAAACACGGTGATTGCAGCAGTCTCCTGTTCGCTAATGAGACAAGGAGAAATGGAAGTTACCCAGATGTAACTCCACTTCTGTAAGTGTGTGCATAACCCAGCGCTGCTCTAATCACACAGTAAATAGAAGAATGTAAACACCATTAGCAGGAACATAGTTAAAGTGCGACTCGGCCCGATCGTGTACGATTCAGCTGCAGGTGAAGGCCGGCGCTGAGCGGGATCAAAACCTCATAGGTATGATGAACACGTGTATATAAATCTAGCTCTGGTTACCTCTCTGTGTTGGTGGTTTAAGTTCATTCTGTAAACTCAGCTTCCCTATGAAGGAGAAGACAAATTATTACCACAAAAGATGCATTTCAGAAGCTGCACAATCTTGCGTAATAACAGGATAACATCACATGATTTTACGTCATGTGATACGACGAGTCACGAAGCCTTCAGACGGGACTTTCTCATTACGTCCTCTCACTGGTTTGTGTACCAAAACACAAAAGCGATGCCCTGCAGTCTTCTGAAAAATGACTATTATGAGTCTAAACACGGCCTAAATGAGTGTTTCTGCGCCACAGTGAACATATCAAATGCTGACATGTCATGAAAACATCAAAAGAAGACATGAAACATACAGAAAAAGCGATCAGAGCCAGGAATGCTGTGTGTATAAATGATTTCTGTAGGCACATGGGAGCCTTCCATTGCTAATTATTTGATGAAATTCCACCTAACCTTAGTATTACTCAGGGCAGCAATAAATTGGATCAGTGCAGATGCTGTGAAATCCTGTTATCTGGTTACAGATGTCCCCTCCTGACTTCTTCATCTTCCTACGTGCTCCCAGATAACCACAATTCATTAGCTCATCAGTTGTTCCTCAGTTGACTGAACTGCCTGAGTTGCTCCTTTAAACTCCCTCTGACTGCACACGAAGCGATACCTAAAAATATATATATATATATTTAGGGCATAAGTAATGTGTCGGAAAATGTGTTTTTAAAAAGTAGCTCAACTGACGGAGGCATGCTTTTGAGACAGGAGCACATGTACTGTGTCAGATGGTGTTAGATGCTAATTGGATCACAGTCAGTCACTTGATCCAGCGCTAACCTACTAAACACATAGGCATGAGAAGAGAGGAGATTAGATGGGACGGGATAGAACAGGGAATTGGAATGAGGGAGTCCAGAGCGCTAATCCCTTTTTTTTCTCTCTCTCTCTCTCTCTTTTTTTTTTTTTGAGAACACATGGGAAATTTGCCTCCGACAGAAGAATCACAGACAAGAGGTATTTCACTTGCCGAAGTGTTCATTTCCCTCTGTCTCTCTTTCTTTTCCTCCCCTCAGGAAATGAATGACAGAGAAAAAAAGCGAGCTGGTGGTCCCTGTTAAAAAGGGAGCCCAAGGTACTAAATAGCCCTGATGAGCTTTGAGAACCCACAGTTGGAATATTAAAGGATTCAGACAGAAGGTGTAGTTCAAAGGAGTTTGAAACCCCTGAATTTAATTGCCTCATTTGTGAGCTTCACTGAGGGTGGTTTGGGGATTTGAAGGGGATATACTGGCAGTGGGAGAAAGGATACTAATTTGAGAAATAGGATGTCCCTTCAGTGCCGTTCATGAATGCTTTTCTAATGTACTGTTTGTTGGAAGCCTAAATTGGTTTCTGACTTAATGTGCATTATGGGAAAAGGCTCAAAAAAAAAAAAATGGCCACAGCCATTTTAATAAGTCCCTTTGCCCCAGTCAAGCTCACTCCCACTCTTTTCGCAGTTTTGACAGACGCTAGTTTCCACGAGCGAAACCTACTGAAGGATCTGAGGCAAGTGAAAAACACGGCATAAATTGCTGAAAATTCCGTATGAAGTCATATTTGGTCACAACTATTTTTATCCCAGTTGACAGGTTTCTATTTCAGAAGAGAGAAACTCTGTGTCCTCATTTATTGCTGTAGCCTCTCCAAGTCTGTGTGCAACATAAAAAAGCACAAAGCCACACGAGGAAGCAATAATTGAATAAGGGGCCCACTTCAAGGAAATGTACCATCAAAGTGTTGTGTTCCCGCCTCCTGTTAACTGAAGCAGCGATGGAGGCAGCGTATCCTATAAAACACTGCTGCACTGATTGGCTCGTCGCTCAGTGTTTATAAGGCCTAATGATATTTACAGGTGGGCGAATCGGGCTTTGACAGACAGGTGGGCGTCATCGGCGTAACAAGAGTTAAAGTTCACACCTGAGGACCAGATGACTGTCGCACAGGGCACATGCTCACAGGCTACATGGCCTCAGTGTGTTTCACATCAGAGACTGTAAATCTGCTTTGTGTGTGTGTGTGGGGAGATTAAAGGCCATTTTGAATCTGGAAATTGTCAAAAACTAACAAGAGTAAAGGGTGACATATCCACTCTAATTACCTTCATGGCGATTAGGAGCTGACGATAACATAAATCAGTATGACTGGATTTTTAGTTGTAGGAATGGGCTACTTTTCAGTGTATTTGTCCTCACGCGCCACATTATAAATGGGACAAACACTGAGCCCTGTTTAATTATATGGACCTGAACACACATTTCTGTATCCTTTAAATGTAACACCACTGTGTGTCCATGCTTACTGTGTTGTGACATAAATCAGAAGAGGCTGGTACCATAATAGTTTGACCTTTGGGGGGATATGTTTTTTTCCCTTTCTTGCCCAGCGTTAGATGATTAATTGATCTATATAGGGAAACCTTAAAGGTCGAGAGACAAACTAGCTTAGCTTAGCACAACACCTGGGAACATGGAGAAACAGCTCCTGGCTCTGTATAGATTCAACAAATCTGCCCACCAGCGCCTGTAAAGCTCCCTCGCTTAGCACGTCACTGAATCCAAACAAAATGCAAGTTGTGGTTTTATGGAGCCTGACTATTTGACTATTGGTTGCCCGGCAACCCAGCGAAGTACAAATCCTCATCCAGAAAGATGACTTGTTAAGATGTATAACAAGCTGTTTTAACATTTAATAACTGAGTTTGACTATCCAGAAATGAAACTACAGACATCAACGTCATTTTTCAAGTTGTAATGACTAGTCAGAATATTTACTCTAGATATCTACAGTCAAAATAAAAGTTGCAGATATCTCCAACATCATTATGACTTGTCTGAATCGTTGTGCACGTGGTCGCTCGTGCATGACTTCCCATTGGAAACTCACCCAGCAAAGCATTGGAACAGCGTTTGCAGAAGTAATGGCAGCTGCTCGCGGTGGACAAGAGTGTTAGAAAATGCCAATTTGTGGAGTTTGTGGAGAGCAAGAGCTTCATTCTTAAAAGACTTGTGGTCAAGACTTGCTAGAACTTTGGCCTCGGGCTGTTCTGCCATGGCAGTAACATGACCTGTCAGACAGCAAGCTGTTGTGGTTGCAGCACCATAATAGCTATGCTCGAAAAGCAAGCCGGCTCACTACCACTTTCTGTAACTCCTGATGCAACTGCAGATATGGGCGACGTCATTTTGCCGAGTCAAAACTAAATCCAAGATAAGACTGTCTGTGAATATTCTGTCTGGGCAGAATTCTAGCTCAAAGTTATTCTGACTGGTAAAAACTTAACGTAAGACAAAATAGATATCTTGAATTGAGGGGATCTGGAGTTAAGATACATCAGAATTAAACTACATAAATTTGAATCTGATACGGCTGCTCAATTTAAGATATGTAAAAAGGACAATATGGATATCTTGAATGGTGGGGGCCTAGAGTTAGGCTATGGCTAGTCAGAATTAAATTGTAAATATATGACACTGGAATTACAATTACTACTACATCGTGATTCAAGTGCAGATATCCATGATTCACATTGCAGATATTTCAAAACCTCATCCACATAAATGGTAAAAGTGACGTTATTTGTCATTGGAAGAATGACAAAGTGAAAATGTGAACTTATCTTTTTGACAGGAAGATTTTAAGTTATGGATATCAAGTCTAGCTATTAATTTTTATTTTTTTTAAAAAGACAGGTTTGTCACCAGTTCAAACTTAATTTAAGATTTCAAAAAAGGACAATGTAGATATCTAGTTGTTTTTTTTAAAAAGTAGAATTATGATTATTTAGAAATAAAATGCAGATATGTGAAACTGAAATTTCAAGTAGCCATAATTCAGCTGCAGATATCTGGAGCTGATTTGTAGTTATCTGTAATGAGAAACTCCATATACATGAATGATATAAGTGTCATTATTTGTTCCCAGTAGAAGGAATAATATTTGCTAAAATGGTTTGTAAACAGTTCAAACTTAATTCAAGATATATAAAAAAGACAAGGTGGATACGTAGCATTCCTAAGAAGTAAAGATTTCTTAAACTAGAATTACAACTAGACAGAATTAAACAGTAAATATCAGAAACTGGAATAATATTAGTAATAATTCAACTCATTAATTACCAAATATGTGTGTTTAGTCTGCCAGGAAGCAGATTTTGTTAGCATGTGGGAGCCATGTTAGCGGTTTCCTAATGCTAAGCTATGCTAAGCTAAGCTAAGCTAGCCAGCAGTTGGTGGAGGCTTTATATTTAATTTAGCCCACTGACTTAATAAATAGTAAAATAAATAAAATAATAATAATAACAATAGTAAAAGTGTTGAACTATATCTTTATTTATTTTTCTGGTGCCTGTTTGAAGCCGTTATTTCACAGCCATTACTCGGAGCTAGCTTGGAGCTCGGAGCTAACTTGGAAGCCCCCCTTGGCAGACCCGCACATAGAAGCCGGAGCCCCGCCAAGTTGAAGTTGCGTCCATTGTTAAGGAGCCGCGGATAATGGGGTCTGTCCCTTTAAACCGCAGCGGGAGGTGGTGCTCTCTCTCCGGCACATGAGAGGAGGGGGAGGGCCGCTTTGTGCGCCACACAGATGCAAAACTAAACGGACATCGAAGCACCAACACGGGGACCGTCCTGCCGCAACTCTCCTGGAGGACGCTGAAAGCTAAATCAGCCCGAGTGTTTACGGACAAAGTTGAGCGGAATACGAGCCTCTGAAACTTCTCCCGTCGACTAAAAGCACAAAGGTAACACTTCTGTCTGTTATATGTGACTGTTTCGTTGTTTTTCTGTGTGGAGAGTTAGCTGTAAATGTTGTATTTAAGCTAGTTCTCCTGACTTGTACACGTCCGGGCCGCCGCTCGGTGCGTTTAATGTAGTTTTCAAAGTGCAGGTTGAGTGAAAACAGACGCGTGGTTGAAGTTAAAGCCAACGGTGTGAAATCTGCATCTCATTTGAATGTCAAATGCGCCTGTGGACAATCACACCGAGCTGCCTGGCTCTCCCATATGGAGGCACAACAATGAGCCCTCTGGCGTCCTCTGTGTCCTCCATCAGTCCGGCCAGCAGCACAGAGGAAAAGGTTCACATGATCAAAGTCACCACTGAAGTTGAAAAAGGAGCATTTCTGGGGCCAAACACTGACTTGACCGTGAAATCTTTCTTACAAATACCTCTAAAAGTCTCTGCCTGACTCATGTGTGTGTCACTTGACTCTCAGAAATGACAGTTTTGAACTATTCACCATGAATCACGGCCGTGAAGTTGTGCAAAAACTCCTCCAACTTTTTTTTTTCTTTCTTTTCTTTAAATATCAAGGGATCTCCTAGTACATATACGTGTTAGATTACTGACCCGATTACATTTTTGGCAGAGAGCGCTCCTGCTTTTGTATAATTTAATATGGAGTTACATAATTATCTGTGTTTGAGGCAAGGCCAAGATCACAATAAGCAAGCGAAAGGGGGTCATTAAATGGGTTAAACAGCAGTGAAAGTTTCACATTAGGAGCTGCCAAGAGTCCACAAACCGCAAGACCTAGATATTTTAAGAAAACACACCTAATTTAGTCAGAACTAATGTTTGGATCTGGGTTGCAGAGTCCAAAATAAGTGTCCCAATAACTATTTTCAGCTGCAGGACAGGATATGATTTAATCATCGCGGGAGCAGATGGACTTGTGAGCATCGGTTCAGGGTTACGTAACATTATTACAGTAGAACGACGAGAAAACGCTGTAAAATCCTACAGAGAGCCTACAAGCATCCCTCAGCCGCAGGTTTGTCCACCGTCCCGCGTCATTAGCGAGTTTCTTCCCTTGTTTGTGTTTGCGGCCCCGGCGCTCGCCTCTCGCGGTCATCATGCCTGATGAACTGGGTAATTTACTCCAGAATTGCCACAGCGGCTGTATACCTGCCCGGCCTCATTCATCACGGCCTGCTCGAAGGCTTTAACTTTAACTGCGCCGACCATAAAGCGTGCAGGTCCGTTTTATCACGGCCGTTTCATTATTCCTCGCTCATCCTCAGTAATCAGCTCTTCATTCTTGTTAAACTGTCAGTCGGGACAAAAGCAGGAGGACATATTGAGTAATGAGCTTGGCTGTGGTGTTGTCTTTGTACAACTCCTGCCCTCTGACCCCCCTCTTACACACACAAATACACAACCACACCCGCAGTATTTCTCATTTTGCTTGACGAATCATTTACCCACAATTTATTGGCAACTTTGCGATAAAGAGAAATGAGGCAATTTGTGGGGGGGAGAAAAAAAACACACACTTTGCTTTATGAGTTAACTCGTCAGATCCGGGCAAAACAGGTCAGTCTGCCGTTCCACTTTTTATGGCGTCATCCTGCCTTTCTCAGTGACAGCACCAGTGCCTTGCTTGCACACACTTGAGGCCTTTCAGCTCCGCCGTCTACGGCTTCTCCAGAGCTGCCAGGCAGATATCGCTCCATCAAGATCCATTGTGTGTGCAAGCCGAGTCACAGGGGAGGGAGTGGATGCGAGCGAGTGTGTCATCTCTGACTGTGCTTTTTTTTTTTTTTTTTTTTCACAGCGCAGCCTATTTGAGTTTTGCTCTGGAGGATACTGCTGCTGCGTTGTGAGGAAGCTGGCTACTTTCCCGACTGCACCGAGGTCAGTACAGTTTTATGTCGGAAAGGAGGGTGGGGGGGCAGTCGGACTCACGTGCGCTCGTGAAAACATTAACTCGAGGCAGTTTCTCATGCAGTTAGTAAAAAGGAGCTCATTTCCTTGCGAGTTGGCGGTTTTATTTGCGTGTATGGATTCCATATCGTGGGGAGGTTTAATGTATAACTGGAGTCAGATGGGACGACTCGCAAGTATATTGCTGGTTCCTGTTGCTTCCCGTGCCTCGGGAAATGAGCGTGTAAATAGTTTGGCCGTTCACCTTCATCCCCAGCTCTGTAGGAGACCAACAGGTAATAATGGAAGAATGCCTTAACGTTTGGACATCTGTGGGACTTCGTTCCCAACTCAGTGCCAACATAGTGACATGGGGAAGCAAATGTGATTGATCTATTAGTTGACTGGCTGATTAAATGCCATTTTGAGGTCATCTGGAATTGCCAGTTACCGTTCGTCAGGGCTGCACTGGGTCGGTCTGGACAAGCTACTGGGGCCAAGCTAGCAGCCACAGCCAGGGGCGTGTTTCTACGGTGCATGTGATGTAAGACGAGTCCAGAAACAGCAAAAGAAGTTTGTTAGGAAAGGGAACTGAAACAATACCGCAATATGAGATGTTAATACTTGTACCAGACTAGATGCAGATGAATGCTGCTGCTAAGTGCACTCATTTATTTTTCATTTCATCAAAAGTTTATATTTTGCCAAGGTTGTTTTTTGTTGTTGTTGATTAGCTGTAGATGTTAATTTCGGTGTTTTTTTTTATTTCAACTGAGGGAGATCTACTTCAGCAGATGTTTATTAAGTTCAGCAATTCTGCATCTCGTTTGTTTTTGATTTTAAAAGGTTGTATTTCGTCTAATACAAACAAAACACAATGATAACATGATATTGGCTTTGAATATCGCCATCGGCATTGTGTTGAAAAACCCATATTGGTTGACCATAATAAAAAATGGATTGTGGTGTCTTCAGAATTGACACAGTGAGGGCAGTTTGCCTGGAGCAAAAGGTCATTTTTTTTAGTCATGACTATAAATAATTCATTATTAATCAGTATAAATAAACACTGGAGAGCTTGGCAACTGTGAAATCCTCCCAGTTCCTGTGAAGTATTAATCACATCACAAGTGAAGGATGTGTAGAAAAAAAAAAAAGTTCAGCTGTTGTTACTAGAAAACGCAGAGGCTGGTGTTGAACTCCCTGTGGAGAGTTGTTTTGTCTCAGACAATTACAGGATTCACCCCGCCTGCTACCAAAGCATTAAGGTCTTTGGACTTTCAAGAGAAGTCATGCTGAGGATGTTTTGAGTTCATCTTTGAACAGACTTTATATGGAAGCAAAAATCCAACATTACATCACTTTCCTCTGGTGTTTTTTTTTGCGGAATGCATTAAACTTTGAACCTCAAAAAAGAAAAACACATTAACTGGAGACCCATTAATCAGAATCTGCAAAACAGAAAGTCTGCGAGCAAAATGCAATCAATTAGACCCGTGGTTTCTGGCCTTTGCGGCTTGTGGCCTGCGAAAAAGATTTCTGCTTGAAGCCCCCCTCCTCTCGCTGTGTAAAGTATATGACCAGGTTAGCCGACGAGTGATGGGCTTTTCTTCACCTTGTGTTATTTTAAGAGGATTTAGAGCTACAAATATCCAGTAATCCGCAAGGAAAGAGCAAATATTTGCAGAAACCTGATAACAAAACAGAATTTGAAGTAGCATAAACATGTTTTACCTGAGTGGCGGAGAATAGATTTTTAAATTATTTAGACAGAAACCGGAGCTAATTCTGGCTCAGTGAAACCACAGGTCTTTTATAATCCCATTTCACAACAATACGTCGTGGCGGTTCCAGGAAAAAGAGGCCACTTTCTGTTTCTGCAGCAACCCGCATGCACCTGACGCTCGGTGGCTCAGCTTCGTACCTGTTTTGTTTACCGTCGGTGTAATGTGACCATGTGGAGGAAAATAACCAGCTCTACAGGAAACCTTTCCTGCGTTTTGTAGTAGAGCTTACCACTGACGTCGCTTCACTCCCGTCTGTAAAACATAAACACAAACGCGATAATACGTTTCCTAAACTTGTGATATAATACAATAAAAGCTTCATTGTGTGCTTGTAGCACAACGCTTCCCCTCCTGCATCACCTGCCATTGTTGATGTGCTGGACTGCATTGTCTAAAGCTGTAAAACCAGTTGGGATAACGATCATTGTCTGAGGTGAAGGCGGTTCCAGTGAAGCCGAGTGCGTCCGGCCCGGCGGGTTGATCCCACATTGCAAAACTTTCGGAACATCCTCTTCGGCTTTAAATCTGTGTATGAACACCACAGAACAACAGTATCTATCATCAGGTGGCACGCCTGGCCACCTCACATGCTCTGGAATCCGTTCTTACTGCGCTACGTGATCACACAAACATATTTTGGAACATGTGTCATAGTGTGGTTGCAGTGGTTTTGACGCCAGGACCTGGTGCTTTGCCAACACCAGTGAGTTCAGGAGAAATTCTAGTAAACCTGGAGCTTACTTTTTTCTATCTGTTTGTACTGTCTTTTGTTGAAAATTGACTTTTTAAGCCTCTCACACGTTAAATAAATAACTGGCAACACCAGCAACTGCAGGCTTCTCCAGGAGACTAGTTTCTGCTTCTTTGGTCAAACTCAAGGACAGATGTTCAAGGTGATTCCTGTGAAGTCCTTTGAAAAGCTGTAAGAAACCCGCACTTGATCAAAGTTGTTCTTTTGTGAGTCATTCTTCAAGGAGACCCAGTCTTCTGAAATCTCACCAGGGGTAATAATTATGCAAAACAACAATTTGGTTGACAAATATTGGGATTTCCCTTTTGGCATAACTAACCGCTGCTAGAAAATATTGAATCTTCACATGTAATAAAGCTCATCAGAAAGTGTCTTGCGCTGCTCTTTGTTGTGTTAAAATGCACATCAGTCACTCCAGCATCCTCATAGTCAGCTGCAGCAACACTAACACAGCCCTTTCCTGGAATACACACTTAATCATTAACCACGTATGATTGCAGCAGGTCCTCCTCCCTCCTCCCTCCACCCACAGTCACAGACACAATATTGCTTTAAACAACAGGATTTGGTTGTGTTGTGCAATATCTGTTGACTTGACTACGACCGGGTCATATATTGAAAACAGACGTAACCGGCGGTGTGCAGCTGGCAGCTCCGGTCCAGGCTTTGGCCTTTTTTACAGTCCAGTGAGCCCTCATTGTGTCGCGGCTCTGTGCAGGCTCAGAAACAGGTGGTTTCTCCCTCAAGCATACTGAAAAGACAAAGGAGCACTGTTGGCCTAACCGTGGTCACCTCTGTGCCCACTGGATGACAAATTCATGCCAGGAAAGTAGTTCAGGAGATGGGAGCAGTCACACAGACTACTGTGGGATCTTATCACGGTTGTCTTGTGAGAATTGCTGCTTTCCTCCCGAGTAAAGGGTCACACATCTTCCTGCCTCCAGAGGACGTTTTCAGGTCGGCAGCATTGTGCGGTGAAGTTACGATACCTTGATAGATTATGATCGAAGGCTTTGTCTCTTTGTATTAAATGAATCGCTATAAATAGTGGGTGTTGTTTATGTGGGTCACCTTTGAGCCTCATCTTTTGTGTGTGTGTGTGCGTGTGTGTGTGTGTGTGTGTACGTGCATTTGTCTGTTTTCCTTCATATGCATATGTGTGTGGTTTGGGTGTGCCACATGGGTTTGGTTAGCACCTTCCTCTGTACAGGTTTATTGTTCTTTCCCATCTATTGTACTTTGTGTGACACTGCAGGCCTCTCAGTTACTGAGAATTGTGTCTGCCGTTTGGGAGCCAACAGGGTGTGTGTAGTTATTTTTAAAGTGCGGGTTTGTGACTGGGCGGACAACAGAGGCCAGTTCTCCCTGATAACCCCTGAACCTATTTAGGACACTTCAAACAGACACTGTTGATGGACTTTAAACGTATTGGTCACACATATATACACACACACACTGAGTTCACAGCCACAGCAGGCCATGTGTGTTTGTGTGTGTGTGTGTGTGTGTGTGTGTGTGTTCTTCATTAATTAAAACCTCATGCTCGCAGTTTCCAGGAAATCAAAGTTGTTGCTTGATTGCCAAATCAAAGTGGCATGCCGAATGTCTTTAAGCAAACCAAATCAAAGAGCGACTGCTCGCAGTGAGATGACACTGATGGTACTTCAAAGACTCTCCCGACATCATCATAAGATGGTGATTCACAAAAGCTCTCAGGATTCGGAACTTTTCTTATCATTTATTATATAATTCAAAGATGTTCCCAAAACTCAAGGTGAAAAAAAAACAACAACAAATGCTCAACTTTGAAAAGTTAGACCCAGTGGATGTGTGGCAGTTTATCAGTCAGCAAATCAGCAGACTCCTGGTTTAAAGAGCCTGTATTGTGCATTTTGAGTTTTTCCGCTTGACTTGAGTGTTGCATAAAGTTTTGTGCATGTGAAACGTCTGCAGACTCACACAGCCCAAAGATCAGGCCAAAGGCAGCTGTAATTGACGGAATATCAATCAGCAGTCTCCTGGTTTAAAGAGCCCTTATTGTGCATTTTGGGTTTTTCCACTTTTCTTTATTGTTCTTCAGCTTTTTGGGCATTTAGAAGGTCTGCAAACTTGACAACCTCCAAAGTCCATGCCGGAAGGAGTTATGATCTCCCACAGAAAGCACTGCACCGTACCTGGCTACAAGTCCAGGCTGTCTTCCGTTTCTATCTCTGTCATCATGTGACACGTTGCATGGCTTTTTTTGGATCAGAATATGAGCGTTTAGGGGTTAATTATGTCTGTGTTTGTGTCTTACATTTGACCATTTGATAAATAAAAATGTTTATTATGCTTGAGTGAAATAAACATCACCAGTTCTTATTTTAATTTGAGCTAAAATCTCTTTACTTCAATATTTTCTTAACATTAAAGCATGTAAACATATTCGAAAAACCTGTAAACGTGCATGATAC